GTCCCACACGCCAGACACGCTAAAAACGCGCGGTCGCCAATGGGTTAAACGGAAAAGAAACAAAAAAAAACGAACAACGAAAAATATTTTGCTCTATCGATTGGCGAAGAGGTGGGCTGAGCACGGTAGGTGCAGCTTGAAGCCACGAGACAACGAAAAAAGATTTGCCGCATGCCGCAAAGCGAACGTGGGAAATCAGGAAGAAGTTCCATCACACTAAAATCTAGAAAGTCACCCAGAGTGGCACACAGAACCTCTGCCTGTTTTCTGTGGAAAATATGCGAAGGCTACCGAGGAGTGAACGATCTTTGCCAAAGGTGTTCGAAAGGGCCCTTAACGTGGGATCTCTCACTCAAAGGTCTCGACAGACACCTGATCTAATGAATGCAGAAATATTCACGTTCTTTTTCCAGTAGACGCTGAAAAGGTGCAAACGTCAGAGAAGTCAGAGAGGGTGTCAACCTCTACTACTACGGGGAAGATACCGAACAAAGGTATCGCCATAGCAACAGCGAAGTCCCTTTGAGACTCTGTCTCCTCTGTCAACAGGATGCCGATCGAATCATGGCTGTGAAATTAGATACGAAAGAAAGGTTCTGGACAATAATATCGGTACACGCGCTACAGGCTGGCTGCCCCGACTACGAAAAGGGTGTTTCTATCTGAGCTTTGACGAGACCATAAGATCAGTTCCAGAGGGGCATTATCTCACCGTAGCGCGTTAGGAGGATCTGGCTACAAAGCACAGAACTCTCTTGGCACATATAGCCTTCGAACTTCCTAAGAGATAAAGGACGGTGGTGGAAGCTGCACAGAGCTTGAACGAAATGTATCGGAGACTGATCTTCCAGATCCCGACGGACTGATTCAGCACTCCAGAAGCGATACGGTGGAAGTCATCCTACGGTAAGTGATGGAAGCGATGGAGGAGAATCGAGATGGATTCTGAGGGGCAGGTTCGGGATAGATGTCTGGAAGTCAAGCGAGTTGTGAGGCAGAAGAAAGCCGCTTACAAGCGCTGCCAGCAGACGCGGGATCTAGAATACTTAGCTGCCACCAGAGGTGGAAAGAGGCACGCGATAGCTGACACCATCGCACACTGTACAGAAGATGAGGTTTGTTGAACAATAGGGAAGATGAAGGTTGGGAGACAAAAACTTCTTTTTGAACAGCACTGTAGCTGTAAACGTGGCCACGGATAATGACAAGCGATTCTGTGTAGTTAGAAAGCTTCCTTCAGTTAGAAAGGTGAGTGCATCACTCGCTGAGTGGCGTGTCGCACTATGACAGGAACGAAGCTACCAGTACCTGTTCGTGAAACGATTTTTCCCCTTAACCGTTTTCCGTGGGTTTGAAAAGGGGAAGAGATGCAAAAAACCTAATATACATACCTTAGTGAGAGTTCGTCGCTTTTGGTTGGTACAAAATCGCTACAATATTGCTACGCAATAATAATATCCTAAATTCCTAACTCTGATTTAACACCTTCTTCAACTTCATCTTCATGTGGCAGGGGTTCATGTGAATGAATCGTAGGTTGTTAAAACGGACTCAGTTGAAATCATAAAATAGCGTTGCTGTAATAAAACAGAGTAGTCTTTGTTTCTTTCTTATTGAAAGGGAATATAACAGAAAGGAAAACTCAAACCTCTCCTGGTCTCCAGTCATCCGGTTGAAGGAACGGTGCGATATAGTCGAGGCCACAAACTCGTCCACGCCAGTATCGAAAATAGTTCTCGAACCTGTAGGAGAACGTTTCGGAGAAAATATAACAAGTACCATAACAGTAACTTTCTCTGATAGATTAATTTATCGAGTTTAGGGACTCCTAGAATATGAAAATGAGTACTAGATCCTCTTTTTTCCCGTGATACCTACCTTGTGGTGCTTGTAGGTAAAGTGTAGCAGCGTCTGAGGCTCGGTACCCGCAGCATCTCGTAATGACTGTGTGTTTTCATTGTAGTGCGAGGAAGCATTACTCGATAGCTGAAATTGATGTCTTTATCTCATGTAGTGTTGAGGACCTCCTAACCTAACGATCTGACGCAGTGATAAATTGGAGTGAATAACGCGGCTACAAGTCCTGAAACTGCTTGTGAATCCTGAATACTGTCGAGATCATGGTGGCAAAGCCTTGCTAGAGCAGTTCATCGTGTTCACATGCCCACTTGAGGTCTTCACTATTGAGTGTCAACTATTAGTTTTGCAAATGGTGCATGCTTTCTGCTCACTACAACAAGTCTTACCTTGTTCTACCAAGAAAGGTTTCAGTTTCCAATGGAACTTTGAATAAAGACCTAGGTATATCGATATGGCTTGTAGAGTTATTAGGTTGATGCACAATTACTGCGCATTTTTTCGCGGCTTCTTTCCTCTCAATAAAATTAAACTTTTATATTCGGAAGTTTTGTAGAAATAATCTTCTCGCTTTCCTTAACAGGAATATGTCTAGAAAGTTATCTTCACATACGAACAATTACGCTTTATTACTTCGAGAAATGTTGGAAGACGGCACACTCATGACGTGATCTCAACGAACTTCTCAGCGATGGAACAGTCAACCAAAGTCGAATAAAGAATGGAATTCGTTCCCACGATTCCCCTATCACCAACAGAAACTCCTATGGATTCTCACGTTGATCGCCCGTTGAATGGTTAGCGAACAGAACTTTCGACGAAGTGAATGGCTTGATAGCCAACGTCAAAGCGTGATCGCCTCCAAGAATCGAACTTCTTCGTCTGTGGAATCCGACCGCCTAGCAATTGAGAGGCAGTGCTTGAGGTAGATTCTGGATATGTTCCGGAGCACTTATTTGAACATGTCTATGCTAGCTGTCTCTATCGTTTCTTCAAGTAAAACTCGCTAAGAAAACCCACAATAATTATGCACCAACCTAATATCACGAAATATGGAAATTAAAACTGCAAAATAAGTCCACCAAAAAAGTTGTGAGCGTTCAAAGTTTGCATGCCTAAACCAGGGAGAGATAGTGCCAGTTGATAAGCCCAGCTGCCCGCAATGGCTACAAGGGTCCCCGTGGAGTAGTGGCAGTGCTCTGCCTCTTCAGGTGAGCGATGAGGGTTTACTTTCCGTTGTCGTTTTCTTTTTTGCAAAACCTGCTTATAAAAGCTCCTAAACCGTTTTTCTTACTAATTTGAGTTAACATTTGATTCGAACCGCATTGCGAACACCTATCTATCACCTATCACCGCACTTATTTAAAATTTGTTGAGGTGGAGGGGGAAACCCAAATCACTTAAGACAGATTTGCGGAAAAATTGAACACCGATGAAACAATCCACGAAATGAGTGAAACAGATATTTTGTTCACAAAATGCGAAGCTCATTTGTACGTGCGGTCTTTCCACAACCATCACCATCTACACATTTTCTCTACCCATTTTTGGGTTGTTTCATCGATGTTGACTTTCTCGTGCATCCAAAAGTATTTCACTTTGGGTGTGGGTATGTGTGTTCCGATGTTGAAAATGAAAGAGCGTTACAAAAATGACGTGGAGAAGTGTCAAATAAGTGCGGTGATAGGTGATAGTTAGGTGATCGCAAATGATGGCCGAATCAGAGCGTTAACTCAAGTTAATAGAAAAAACGGTTCTTTTATCCGTATAAAAGCAGGTTTTGCAAAAACGAAAACGACAACGAGAAGCAAACCCTCATCGCTCACCTGGAGAGGGAGAGCACTGCCACTATGCCATGGGGACCCTTGTAGCCAATGTGGGCAGCTGGGCTTATCAGCTGACACTATCTTTCCATGCTTTAAGCATGCAAACTTTGAATGCTCACAACTTTTTTGGTAGACTCATTTTGCAGTTTTAATCTCCATATTTCTTAATAACTTTCCAAGCCTTATCGATATACCTAGGTCTCTTCCAAAGTTCCATGGGAAGTTGAAACCCTACCCTAGTTAGAGCCTAGAGTAGTACCTATGGTGAATTGCTGAGGCTCAAAAGCACATATTGGTGTATGATTCAAGAGCTCGGGGAGGGGTACAACTGAGGCTGATTGAGCGGGTAGCAAAAAAGAACTCAGTGAAAAGAAGATCAAAGAAGATGAATAAGAATGACAATGACATGAATAACAAGAACTGAATGAGTGTTGCAGTTGTCCTTGCTATCTCGAAACCGAGAAATCATCTCGATATTACTATTGGGATCCTATAATGTACCACCTATAGGGTGACATCATAGCAAATGGTAGCCAGCGGTACAAATGGTCACGCAGTACGCGTTGCATGACGTAGGGGCGGCTTCCCTGTATACCTGGCAAGAAGCATGGAAGTAACCGAGGCCAAGCAAATTGCTCAAACAGCTATAATTGCGCCCCGTCCTGCGCACATGGGATTTTTCATGGAAATTCCGTGTTCCAGACAGCTAACCGACGGACTTAGGACTTAAGAGAGCCCAAACGGCCGAACACAAGGAAATAGATCACGTTCTCATTAATTGACGCTGGAATCTACTTGATATATCCGTGTTGCCTTTTGACCCGGGCTCGGACCATCTCCTAGTGCACGCGAAAATATGGCTCGACAAGCGGAACTCAAGCGCGACACCCCGCTCACGTCAAGACTCCTCCTTTGTTTCAAAGCTACTCGAATGTGCCACTGGAGTTTACGACTGGCATCTTCTAGAGGATTCCACAGAAGACTACGAACACTTGAGCAAAGGCTCGCTTTTGTGTGCAGAAATTTTCCGTCGTTCCCTGCTAGCCTGAATTCCAAGCTTGAATGCTCTTGCAGTCTGACTCTTGAAAAAAAGGAGAGCACTTAAGTAGGATCCTAATGTCAATACCGGGGAAAAGTCCTCATCAACAAAGCCTGTCGTTTGACTGTCAAGGAGTCCCACGGGAACGAAGGAGAACCAAGTTACTGGAAGCAGCCGAAGCGAGATTGAGCATCAAGCGCTGCAAACGATCAGGAAGTTATTATGTCGGCTCTCATAGACAGAGGAAGAAGCGTAAAAATATCTAGAAGTTTTATGGAGGACATCGTTCGAAATTTCTTTCCTTCCTTCAACTTTGTGGTGCTCGATGCCGCCTTATGAAAGACCTCCCGCTATTCTAGAAACGGAAGTGGCAAATGCGATAAGGGCATGAAGAAAGGAACAGCTCCAGGCTTGGAAAATATCCGTTGCTTCGTTCTGGAAGTACCGTTGTTCACACACTTCTTGCGGAAAACTAACCAATACCCCAAATTGAGAGAGACTCCAGAGCAGTGGCAGGAACCAAAAACTATCTCTTATTCAAGAAAAGTCAGCAGGAGATTATCTTCCCTTCAGCCTGTCGTAGATCGTATACAAGTCATTCACGATAATTCTGCTACATCGCATGGAACGCATCACGGACGAATACCAGCCAGTAGAGCAGACCAGATTCAAAAGAATTGTTCGTGCATGGACAACATCCGAGCAGTCAATCAATTTATTGAGAGAAACGAAGAGTATCGCCTTCCTTTGGCCCTTCTTTTCGTGGATTACAAGAAGGCCTTCGACTCTGTGGAGACCAATGCTGTTTTAAATGTTGTTGTGCAAGTCGGAGTTTATCCCGCCTACGTCCACCTGCTCCAACAGTGCTTTTCAAACACATCAACATTCATCCAGTTGTTCGAGCGAATGCTGAAGATTCCGTTGGAAAGTGGGCGCGACAGGGAGATGCTACATCCCCAAAGCTTTTCACGGCTGCGCTACAGTATGCGATGCTGATCCTCGACTGGGAAGTAAGGGGGGGGGGGTATCCCCTTAATTGCAAACACGTCACAAACCTCTTCGCCCATGATATCGCCTTGTTATCTAGCATAGAAATATTGAATATATAGAAAAATACAATATTGAAATAGAAAAAATGTTCAACGAACTTTATGCGGCAAGCCGGAATGGTGAACAAGTGGTGATACGGGAGCAGTAAAATTAGAGGGAAAAAGCCTGCAGAGTAGAATCCTACGTGTATCTGGGAAGAGAGCTGAACATGATGAACAATATCGCTCCGGAACTAAATCGGAGAAGACGTGCTGCATATGCAGCTTTCGGTTTACTACGTGAAGACAGACCTGGTCGGCGATCCCAACCTCGAGACTTCGATATTTAGCGCCTCAGCTAGTCATGTGTGATGTGAAACATGACTTGACAACAAAACAGTCGTCAAAGACATAAAAACTTATCACGCTAAACTTATCAAAGAATTTTTCTGGAAAACAGTCGACGCCAGTGGCAACATTGCGGAGTTCGAAATGCTTCCAAGAAATAAAACCATGCTTACTTATTCTGATGGTCCATCGGCAAGAAGGTCTTCTTAGCGGGGTCCCTAGCTCCTTCATGTAGTCCGGTCATTCGCGACTTGCACGTACGCCGACTCGGTGGACCGATCAGTTTACCAAATACTTCAAAGAAAGCGGGTTACATTGGATGCAAATCGCGAAAGATCGGGCTGTATGAAGGAGCTGTGGTCCCCGCTGAGAAGATCCTCTTGCTGATGGACCATCAGAGTAAGGAAGCATTACTCTTGAAAAGACATTTGCCTACAATGGTGTAAAATTTGCTGACCCACAACAATGAACAACTATTCCGCAACCTTAAACTATGTGCAATCCACGCATAACTTCTGGAGATTGAGTATCAAAGTTCTAGGGGAAACACATAAACCTTGAGTACCTACTTTCTATCACGCTCTACCAGCCACTCGCTCTGTTTCGGTGAGTACGCCTTGTAAGGAGAGAGTTCGTACAAGCATCGTCGATTCCTAAACATGAATATGTTCTTAAGAATGAAATGCTGCAGAACTGAGCCAACCTCCACGGTATGCACAGACTTGGTGCCAGTGATGTGTACATTTTTCGTTCCCGGAATGTGCCCAGATGCGGGTGGTACATTTCGTCGAAACGGGAGTGCTTGGCTGCATTATAAGAGCTGTTCACATCATCGAATCTGCAATTGCCACTCGGAAACACTCAGCAAAATCAGCAAATTTTGTCATATGAAACCATTCTAACTGTATTTTGAGTTTCCTTCAAAGCAAAGTTCAATAAAATATAAACATGAAAAGTTGTCACTCTAGAACCACAAAGTGGTGTGCCGTCCCCAAGCCCTAGCTCAGTCTCTACCTGATACCACTCAAAAGCAGCCAATGTTCGTTCGGAGAGATGAGTGCTGAATCGCTCAAGCTGCCGAGGGATGCTAACTGCTTTCTGGTTCCAACAGAAAGTAGACAGGCTAAGACAAACACAAGACATCTGACACGAAACGGCTTACGAGCTATACAACAAGGCGACAAACATAAGCAACCGGCTGCCCTCTCTTTCTGATGTGGTAAAAACAATTAAGTCGAGATTGTTCCACTCCATGATTCACCTTCTTTTTTGGACCTTAAAGGAGCAGTTCAGTTGCCGAAATATAAATGTGTGTAAGATTCGCCGTTGATCATCGTGAACCATTCAACTATTTGGAAAGTCGTCTATATTTCAGAAAGTATCGCACCTGTTCGAGTCATAGATCAGTTCACAAGCTCACCAGATGTGCGATTCTACGCAATTCTACCGTTGTTTACATTTTTTATAGCGGCTCCAGGCAATAGCAGCTGCACCACCAATTACCCAATGAGAAAACAACCGCTGTGACCGTTATAGATTTGCATCTATCACAACAAGCACTATCCTACTACTATGCAAAATCCTAACTAAGCGTGTCTGTTGGTTTGCCTGTATATGTATATGTGCATGTGTATGTGTATGTGTGTATACGTATATATGTGTATATGTGTATATGTGTATGTGTATGTGTGTATGTGCATACGTGCATATGTGTATGCGTATGCGTATGTGTATGAGTATAGATGTATGGGTTAACCGGATATTCATAACTCCTGTCATCCTAATCCTAGAGCGTTCGAATATGTGAAAAGTACATGCGGCAGGATGGGAACACTCACGGCAGGCAATAGGAAGTGATGGTATTTGTTAGGAACAGATAAGATGCCTTGAAGTCAGAAGCCACAGGATCCGTAACGCATTTCGTGTTAACGGAGAAGCCTTGGCACTTCGTTAAGTGGAGTGGTTCATGAAGGGAGCGACCCACGAATGATTGGTGACGGGGACTGCTACCAACTGATAGGGATTGACAACAAGCCATACAAGGCAAGAGACACTAGATCTATAACGCTCTTGGTAGTATAACCATTTACAGTCATTTCACATCCCGCATCACCTACCAAAGTACCAACGCCCTGAGAATGGGGCATTGGTACTTTGGTAGGTGATGCGGGATGTGAAATAACTGTAAATGGTTGGGTGCGAGAACCACTATGTCTATAACGTCCTCCGTGTTAACAGTGTAGCCGTAGCACTATAGTAAGGGCTGTGGGCTGAGTAGGAACCGCAGATGTTTGTGATAGGAATTATAACAACTGCTGGGTACTGATAACGACCAATAAATGGCGAGAATCACTAGGTCTGTCGCGTCCTTCGCGTTGACAGTGGAGATCGTAAGTACTTGGTGACAGGAGCTGATAAAAACTGAAGAAATTCAATTTATTTACTTTCCGATTACAACCGCTACCCTGCAAGGCTTGTGACTCAAAGAAGGACCACGCTTTTTCCTTGTTTCGTCACATTTGCGACAAAACTCATCCTACCGCTAATGTTCTGTCATTCTCAAACAATGATATATCAATGGAGAAAAGATGTCAGCGGTGCTACGATCAATTGGCGACATTTGTGAGTGCCATTTAAGGCTTGCTTGCCTAAAAGTTGAATCTTCAATGAGGGATTATTTTCGGGATGAAGAGCAACATATCAGGACTTCAATTACTAGGGGTAAGCATCGGCACACACTGAATGCAACTTGCGCTGTCCATTAGTCCTGTATCAAATCTTGTGGGCAGGAAAGTATTTGTCCCAAAGGTGTGGAGCCGGGCGATCCTACTGGTACTATAATAAGTGTTACGCGCGGTGCAAATGTTGTCTGTGTGTTGGGTATTGCGTGTTGTATGTTGGATGTTGTGTGTAGCATGTATATGTATGTGTAAATGTATGTGTGTATGTGTACATATACACATGCAGTATACATGTGTGGTGTGTGTGTGCCCGCCCCGAAGATCTGTGACTCCTGTTCTTCTCGACCAGAACAAGTAGTTGGTTACCGCTTATTGATCCCTTCGACCATGACATTCAATTTGATCGAACCAACAAATGAAATGGAAAATGAAATGAGCGATGTTTTTAAAATTAGAAGTCGCTCCAGAGGTTAATTCTTTTATATTACCACCAGTTGGGCTACACACGCTAACGCGTGCACCACATGCCAACTACCCCTTATCTACCATTTGTTTGAGGACCAATATAAACCGTATCGGTTGAACTCCCTTTTCATAGCTGTTTCCTCACCGCGCTCAAGTGACATTCATACTCTTCAGCGTGCCTACGTGACTCTTCGCACGGGCATACAAACAGACACACCAAGTTACCCCTTTATATCTACATATACTTAACCTCAATATCAATAGGTATGCCTTACGGTTAAAAAATCAGAGTGCAAGCGACCGCTATGACAGACCGAATATTAGAGCTCGTAATCAGACAAAAGTTATGTTAGTGAATACCTGGACTTGAAATTTGCAAGAGAAGGAAAAAAAGAATTAAAGGAGAAACCAGGGAAAATTCAGAGCATCAACTAGTGACCATCGTCTTGATAATTATTGTTTCCAGTTGTAATGATTGTATTGTTTTGTGAAACAATCATAGGTAGTAGGAGCGAATCGAATGATGTCTGCTTGTAGTATTCGAACTTACGCTAGAGAGATGATTTCGCCGAAGGTGGATACAGGAGTTTCGGCGATGAACCCTTTATATGGTAGAACACACCACCGTGATTCGATCACCTTTTCTTTCACCTGAAACCTCACATTAAATAGATTACAAAAAAATTCCATTTTTTCGAATTCAACAAAATATGTTCTTCACCATTATCAACCCCAGGTCTAAGGATCTTCGTTGCCTACGCACCAACATCGAGCTATGGGAGGGGTGTATATGGATCTGGAGAGGCTCTACAGAGAAGACCACAGTTTCTTCAGGGTCATCGTCGGGGGTTTGTTCGGCAAGATTGGCCCCAGAAGGGCGGCTGAAGAGCTCCGCATGGGGACTCATGGAATGGAATGGAATGAGCAGAGTGAGAGGCTGTCCGAGTTTATCATGTCGACCCACGCCATCCATGGAAAGTCGCAGTTCCAGAAGCCCTTTCATTTGAGATGGACATGGAGGTCACCGGTGGACAGTTCCATAATGGAATAGACCACATCATCTTCAATCGGAGATTTTGTCTGACTGACGTCGCTATTGTTCCGACGTTCTATACGGGATCGGACCATCGTCTCCTCCGCGCTAGATTCTGCTTCTCAATGCGTGGAGAGAGAGCTATAAAGTTTACGAAACGAAGCTTCAAGACCTCCATCAACTGGGACCACTTCGCTTCCCCTGCGAGTGAATGGAAACATTCCGTTGTCGACACTATCGATGAAGAATACACCAGCTCGTCGAACATTTTTAAGGTAGTGCTTACGGAAAGCAGAGAGTTTGCAAGTGGCCAAGTGACGACTCTTTTAGAAAACTCTCGAGCTGATACGCGCGTGGAATCACGCGAGCTACAGACAATCATCAACAGAACTTGCGAAACTATGCAGAGAAGCGATAAAGGAAGATCTGAAAAGAGAAGAGCAGCAGTTATGGACGAAGCAAAACAAAACATCGAATCAAAACAAGTTATGGACGAAGCCGCCGAGCCCGGAAAGACACATTCTGAAAGCCTGACGGAGCTTCACCAATTACAAGACCAGATGACCTCCCTTCGTCGTCCTAACGGAACCGTTACCGCATCCCGGAGAGCAATGGAGAAGGTCATCTACGACTTCTACTCGGAACTCTTCGACAGCACCATCTCAGGCAAGGCGAATATATCGCTCCTTCGGTTCCCCCTTCCGAAATACGACATGCCGTCACGTCGGTGAAGAATTGCATGGCACGCGGTCCCGATAGGATCAAACCAGAACATCTGAAGAGTCTTCTACCAGTTATCGCCAGATCTTTAACCAGGCTATTCACGCAGTACCTGTCGGAATGCAAAGTGCCCACGTCGTGGGAAACCAGCAAGACTGTGATGCTGTATAAAAAGGAAGACTCAGACGATAATGGCAATTATCGCCCAATCTGCCTGCTGTTTGTAATCTACAAGCTTTTTACTCGGGTCATCCTGAACAGGATTGGCAGAATATCAGATGAAGAACAGCCATGCGAGCAAGCAGGGTTTTGGATAGGGTTCAGCATTCGATCATATCCACACTCTTACAAGACTCATTGAAGTGTCGCTAGAGTACAAATTGCCGTTATGTATTACGTATACCGACTTGAAGAAAGTCTTCGACTGAGACAGAAGTGGTAATTAAAGCCCTGGGCAATCAGGGCGTTCCTACTCAATATATATGCATCCTGAGCTCTACGACAACTTCACTACCGGGATTTCACCATTCTACAAGGAATTCATTATCAACGTGAAGAGAGGTGTCCGGCAGGACGGTATCACCGCCCAAACTTTCCAGTGCCGCTCTCGAGAATATCATGCGTCGTTTGACTTAAGAGTGAAGGTCGACGGTCGCTACCTATATCACCTCCGTTTTGCAGACGACATCGTGATTATAACACCGAACATCGAGCAGGCGGAACTAATGCTGGCCGAGTTTGGCGTGCTTGTGGAAAGATCAGCTCAAGGCTGAACATAACGAAAACGATAATCATGAAAAATGGATTGGTACCTGATTCTCCCTTCACGCTAAACGAAACGAACATCTCCAAATGCTCTGGCTATGTGTGTCTAGATCGGGAAGTCAACATTATGAACGACCTAGCTTTGGAGCTGTGCAGAAGGAAACGCGCCGAGTGGGGGCATTCGAGAATATCGAGGGAATAGTGAAGAAGACAAAGAAGTTCCGTCTCCGCGCTCAGCTTTTCGACACTGCTGTCTTTCCTGCTTTGACATACGCCTCAGAGACTTGGACTCCACGATAGCAGGATGAGCAGGCTGTCATCAATACTCAACGCGCTTTGGAAAGGACGATGCTCCAAAAGTGTAGGAGGGAATTCGAAGTTTCGGTCCATCGAACGAAGATCAGGGATGCCGTTGATTACGGCAAGAAATCGAAGATCAGGTGAGCCGGACACGTCATGCGCTATAGTGATGACCGTTGAACCAAGGCAGTTACTGACTGGATCCCTCGGGATATCAAACGAACTCCAGAACGGCCACCAAGGAGATGGTCAGACTTCTTCACGAAAGCTCTGAACGGAAGGAATGTTGGACCTCGTTTCTCTGAAGCGAGGACGATTCACTGAACCACTCTGGCTCGTGAGAGGGACGAATGGAGACGTTACTGGCGCCCGCTGGAGGAAGTCGATGATCAACGGAACGACGGGTGTTACAGGTGATACAGGTTCTTTCCCATTTCCTCCAATAGGTCTTGCTCCCGAGGAACGTGGGTCCCCGGTGAAAGGGGGGGGGGGGCAAAGGAAATAAAAGGGAGTGAGAAGGGAAACGTACGAACGAAAGAGAACAAAATTTACAGACCTCGACCTTCTCATTGGTTACGTGTGTGTAAACGCAATACCACAGTTGCAGATTTAGCACCACAGGCATGAACTCGGATCTATCTTCATCTCTTTGGGATGTTGAGGCCCGAACGCTTAGCGGACTATTGTAGGGAAAAACGCTGACTTGTCGGTGGTCTCTAGTCAAGGAGTAGCCAAATATGCGCCCAGTGGTAGTTGTTGTAAGGGAGTAATACGAATTGCAATCCTGATATAGATTCTATGTATGGCTTTCCCTGAAGAAGGCGATTCCGCCGAAACTTCAGCCTAATAAAGGATATTTACAAACCTCGTGAAGAGTTCAAGACAACAATAAACTCAGTAATACACCTAATATATATAATTCACTAAGCGTGTCTGCTGGTTTGTGGGTATGGATACATTCGCCCAATTCTGGATGGACGCGGCAAACCGCGCGACAATACTCGTGGTGATTTGAAAGACTCTGGCACCTATTAGTGTACAGGTTCAAAGATTAGATTGGATAAGTAAAACCGGCTGATGCTACTTATCTACACTACCTCGCATTTATTATCAAATGATAGACGCCAGAGCCGTGTGGAATTAGGTGAATACACCCATACCCACCGGTTTGTCGGGTTTATACAGAATTGAGTTTATGTTCCATCCCCCGTTGGTTTGTCGGTGTGTGGGTCGGTGTATGTACCTGCCACAGCTCACGATGAAAATAACTTTTAGAATATCCCACTAGCATGATTCGTAATACCCGCGTATGTCGTATGTGGCGCTGTGATATCTGAACGGCCTAGTTAGGGCGCTATAAAGGCTCAAAGCTTGCACCTTGGGTATCCTCGGACGAGTTTCACCGGCACTGCAGAGGCTGCACCAATCCCAAGGAAGCCAATTTGGGGAGATAGCGAGAGTGGAAGGTAGCTCTGTACAGCTGTGGCTTGATCTTGTCACTTCTTTGCGCATTTGCAACAACTGAAATCACGTCCGAATACCACTACAATGTCATTTTCGCCATGGTAGGCTCGTCCAAACTCCATGATCCCTACTTTTGTGGAGCCTTATTTTTCTCAAATTCGGCGTATTTTCTCGCTTTCTTAACTACCGATGAACTATTCCCACCCTACACTTCCGCTTTTTCACTGAATAGAGATACCTCAAAATTATCGTGGACTGTGCCTTTAAGGGGGGGGGGGGGGGGGGGGGGGGGGGG